GCTCAAGGCGGAACTGAACTTTGAATTAATGATCTAATGCTTAACCTAAACTAATGTCTAATGTTTGGAAGTGAAAGTCATAAATCATAAAATGATGAAATCAAAGATAAGTAAGTGAATGAAGACTAAGTCTTCAAGAGATATATAAGCAAAGAATGATGAGATGGAATTATCTCGAATCGTTCAAGCAAATCAATCTACATACAAACAATCATGCCTATTTGTTACAAACATAAGATCCAAATGCAGTTAAACGTATTGAGCCTTACAAACAATGGGGCTTATGCTAAATGGAACTTCAATATTGATTAGTGATGGCATGCATTATGATGATAAGTTGAAACAAATAGGCATTGCAAACCATGGAAGAACCATAATTGATTGATTGCAACATTTATGTTAATCGTGCTAGCAAATGTATCAATCTCTTATGAATTGTTGTAGGAGATCCATCAACATACAAGCAAATATATCAAAACTCGCAGACAATGAAGCCTATGAATACATCTATCTTGTACAACATAAGACAGAGATAAAATAAATGCAGCAACGCTCTATGGTCAGCATCAAAACACAAATAAAGGAGCCTTCATCGAATGCAACAGTTTAGCGATGAAATCATATAACAGGATTATGATCTATATGATACATCGTCCATAATTCAATAAATACTAGAAGCAACTATATGAAGCACAACCTGCCAACAGTTAATGTGTATTATTTGCACAGATTTTCTGAGAAGATACAAATAACTCTTACAATCAGTGATAGCAGACATGTTGTAGAAGTAATAAATTATCAGCGAGCATAGATATGCATATGAGATATCATCTAAAGGTAAGGGTGGTATATCAACAGTGCTCTTACAAGCAACTATTACTTAGCGAGAATAAGTATGCAGATCTCTACAGGTAAAAGTAAAGTAATTGGCGATGAATGCAAATACCTATGGGCCTTTATAGAAGATACATCGTATACTCAATATGTTACATATAGGAAAATGCATAAGGACTACAACAAGCACATGCTCCTACAAGCTGCCCTACCATGTATTCAATGTGTATCCCACAAGCAAAATACATAAGGACTTCGAACCAAGTACTAGTTTCTACATGCAACTGCGAAAGATTAGTCAAATATTTTAAAGCACCCCCTCGCACATGCACCGTAGTTTGTATACACATAGGTACATAAAAAAAGGGAAGTGCAATTATAAAACCCGTATGGGCCCCAACGAGCGTGTTATTGGTACACACGTGACGTTTTGAAATGTTGTACGGGTTAATAAATTCGAACTCGATCCTTCTAAGTAATAGGAGTCGACAATGTGCAACAAACAACTATAATATGCCCCCAAACACCCGCATGGGCCCCGACGAGCATGTTGTGGGAACACATGTGACGTTTAGGGATGCTGCGCGGATCAATAAGTGAATTCAAGTTCCAATCTGATCATTCTATACGGATCAATAGGAGTCGACAGGATTCAAACCATCAAATAAATATATGATTGTGACGACCGACATATTTATTTAATACATTCATATTAGACCTTCAAGGCCTATAATCAAGAGAATTCACTAACAAAGGCATAAAGCTTACGAAACCCAATCCCCTATCGGCAAGTTGATAGGATCGACAAGGTTTAATACAAAAATAGAAATGACCCTAAATATCTCGATGAGGGCCGTGTTGAATGCAAATCTCAATCGAATGGGTCAATTTCAAACATCCACAATGCCACTCAAACACCCTCAAAATCCAAATATCCAAAATCCAAAATATTTAAAATTGAAATAAAATCCATCAAACACTTAAAGTAAAATTCATTCACCCTCCACAATAGTTTGCTAAGATGGACAAATATGAAATTTACTTCAGTTTACATAGAGTCAAATGCCTAATCGAAAGTATCACTGGGATCCATTCTCACATAATCTCCTATCATTAAGGACGTGGTACGTGTCCTCTAACCTACGATTTTACCGCCAAATGGCACCGCAAGATAAACGGTTATGACCCGGGGCTCTCTGAACCGAATGATTTTGCCGCCAAGTGATACCACAAAATATTGGTTATGACCAGAGCCAATACGTTCCTTAGTGATATCAAATCATTGAGATATGAATCAATAGGCTATGATTGATAGGGTACAAAGCCCTCTGTTAGCTAAGGTGGATTCAAATTTGTCCCCTTAGGCAAATATCCATCCCAGATCTACAAGATCCCCTTGGACGAAACAACCCATGGCTGTCGACAATGATCATTATGTTAGGTTGGGTTGACTACCTCCTCTGACTAAGTAGACCAGGGATCACGATGGGCCGAGACGACAGAACCATGGGATCTTGATCGGGTCTATCATCAATTCCCCCACCATCTGCTTTATGTGCAAGATGGTGAAATTTCTATTTTAAATATCAAAATTTTCAAACATCCAAATATTTCCAGATCCAAATATATGCTGCTACTATATGACAGATAACATGTACTCTACATGTATCTGATTGACGACTAGCCTTAATCAAAAGTTCTCTCTCATAATCGGGATGGGTATTTAACTATAGGGGCTTACGCTTATAGGAAATCAGAACTCAGATCATAAAGTCCTCGCAAAATGAGGGCGAAATCTCTGGGTAGTGTCTTATCTACAAACCCATCTATCTTCTAAAATTTACTCCGGAACTTAATTCCGTTAAAACTCCCTTGCCAAAAAGAAAAAGCAAATCAGTGCAGATGGAGGCCGGGGCCGAATTTTTGGAGCCCATAGGTATCCATCCTCCAATTTGCCACTTGTCTAATCTCTCTAAATATCCTCACAGATCCATTATATATATTGAACTTAATCATTTCTACCCCAACAATTTTACTTGTCATGTCAATTGCCCATTAGGTCATTTTCATTATCGACAAACCTATAAAAGTAAACCAATCCTTATAAGAGTTTATCCATAATCAAGGACTGAATCTTCAATAGAAAAAATAAAATAATTTGTAGCTATCAAAATTAGATCAAACTCATCTTTTTTCTTTCCTATAATAGATGCTGTTTTAGAGTTAGATTTGCCTTTCAGGTCACATTTTTTGCTTTAACTTTGTTTGTAATAGTGTTTTTTTTAATATATTTTTAGTGTCCAGGCTTCTTACAATATTAGCATTACCCCTTTTTTTTTACTTTGATCTCTTTCTCTTTCTTCTTCATTTGCTTTCTCCATGCTTCTTCCTGTCCTTACTAGTAAGCTGTGAATTGGATTTTCTTCCTCAATTCATTTGACGAAAGAGTAGGCTTCACCTCTATCACAAAAATAGTGTCATTTCCATAAAATAAAGTTCTATAAATTTGCTCATAGGTAGAGAGTAAAGAGTACAGCATGATCAAAGCTTAATTTTCTTCTTTGATTTTCGCAATCAGGTTCACTTGATCCAAAGTAGCTTGTTGTAACTATCTAAATATTGTTGCAGTAATGTAAAATCATTCATGTAAAACATGAATAATTGATTTTTCAAATTGAGATGGATGGTTTCGTCATGTTGAGAGATCCTAACCTTTCTTACATCACATGTGCGGTACTTTAATATACTACATTTTGAAAGACCAATTTACTTTTTTATATATTCTTAGGAGTCTTGGTTCAGGAGCGTGTATTGGCGTTAGGGCTTAAGAGTTTGATACAAGTATGTCCTTTGAAATATTTGATAGAAATCTACACGAACAAATCCCAAATATTATGTGAGCAGACAGCGACATTCTCAACTACTTGTGTGCATGAAAATATTAAGCACTAATATCGATAATATGTATCACATGAGTTGTATCTCTTATCCATTTTAATTTATTTCAGTGTTTCTAACATTAGATTTTAGACAAATGAACGGTCAAACATTATTTCAATTATCCAAACAAAGCTAGCATTCCAATCCATCTTTATTTGTTAAATTAATCCAGTTTCTAAAACCAGCAAATTGTGAAGGTTTTGCTGATGAATTGGTTGTGGAGATTGGAGCTATGGAGATTTTTCCTATGATGCAAATATTGATCGACTATGTAATGATTTAAGCCAAAAGATTGAAGATCATTATAATATTACAGAGTAGTAGAACAATATAAACCCCTAAGAAAATTTGTATGGTAAATTTGATTCTGTTGTCGTCCTTTTCTGTGAAGGCAGAGACGTCAGTACCTCCATGAGAATTAGATATTTCTCCTCATCGCATGCCCTTAAAAAAAGAGAAATTAACGGCTACAATCTACAGCTCACTGTTCGAATCCCAGAGAAGGAAGAAATGCTATTCAAAGTTGTTTTGAGTTGAAGGTATATGAAATCTTCTAATTACTCGATTCTAGTACTGTTGCACAAGTGGAAGCCCTAATTACTTTTTTATTTAATACAATCATAAATAGTTGTAACTTAGGCCCCATATGAGCTTGACTGTAGATGAGTCTCAATGAGATTGCACTTGCTGTTCTAGTGAAAAAACGATCACACCTGGAATTGGGACTAAAAAAAAGATAGAACGTTGAACTGGTGATTGTGTGTTTGCATTAATATACGTAGGTGTGATCAAGCTAAAAAGAGTAATCAGGCAATGCAAATTACTAAATCATCAAAGTACACTTGCATCACTGATCTAATTCTGCACATTGTGCAAGTCTAAGAACACAAGGGTGACGCTGATTGATTGGAGAAGTAAAATAATATGCAACTTGGAGCCTTACTTTTATGTTCACTCACTCACAAGTTTATGCATACAAAGTTGCATTACTTTTTCTTTTCTAAGGTTTCATTTGGGACGGCTTTCTTATTTCTTTTTAAATCGCCTTTTTAGTTCAAAATTTTAAATTTTTTATCTATAAAGTCACTTTAAGAAGCAGGAAGAAAGCCCTCTCAAACTAAGTCTAAATAAGAAACCACTTTGAAGCCACATGAGTAATATAGAACAGCTAGAGTCTTACTGTCAAGCTTATTACATCTTATAATTTTGTTTTCTTTCTAACTTAGGTCACAAAAGTACACGGAATACTGTAGTCATGGCTACAGGAGAAAGGCCAGCTGAAGTTGCTACTGAACTTCCTGAAATTGTTACTACCATTCAAGAAGCGGTCTGTTTTTTTCGTATATACTCATTTAATTAGGCTGGAAAGCAATTCTATAAACTTGGCACCAAAGGTTTTAACTTGGAATCTCTTGGTAGGCAGTGGGATAGACTTGACGATAAATATGCTGTGGCTTCACTTGCGTTTGCCACCGTAATTGCTCTTTATGGCTCCATTGGACTGATTTCGGTATGTATATCAAGAACCTCTCTAAATTGCAAATAGAAATTTTGGATGGGAAAATTTCTGCAAAACAAAACAGAAGCGTTGTAAAGGTCGAATTTCTGTACTTTATTTTGTTGTGAAATTTGCAACTTTTCTTTCCTTGCAGGCGATTGACAGGCTTCCTCTGCTTCCTGGTCTGTTTGAACTAATTGGAATCGGTTACACTGGGGTAAGTACTAACTCATTTCACTTCACTAGTTGAAAATGAACTACTCGGAATGAAAGTATAGTGATGATTTTTTATTTTTATTTTTGTTACATGTTTGAATGCAAATTAAAGTAGAGAATAATCTCACATCAGATAAGAAATAAAGAGTTTGAGTTCTTTATATAATAATACCCTTGTTCATGACTCATGCTTTTGGATTGATAGTTGCCCATTAATCAGTATTTAAACTCAACTTAAGGAGGTTAATTTTTGTGAGACTAGCTTAAGAATTAAACTCTTGACCCAAACTAATTGGAATGTGCCACATATAATTCCCTTTAATATGCAACTTTAAAGGAGAAACTTCTTGTGTTAGCATTATTTTTAAAAATGTTTACGTATTAGTATTATGTAGTATAAAATATGTACATTCTAATTTTGGATTTCTGAGTTGAAAATGTTACCAGTTGGTATTGTGCCATTAAAATGTGTTAGTTTTGGTTAGTATTAATTTTTTTTCTAGGAATATTTCTAGATTTGCATCCATGACTTGAAATATAGTGTTGATGTTATGTATTTCAAGGTAAATTACACTCAGATCAAGATGTTTAAACATCATTTCATATAGATTCACATTTTAAAAACACTTTACTTGGCTCCATCAAGTTACATCAGCCTACACTTGGGCTTCTATCATAATAGCTCCATTAATTTTAACCTTTAAATGCAGCCACGTAACTTTGTATGTAATGTTCCCGAGCGTTCTTGAATGAGAAAAATGACCAATATAAAGCCAATATAAACTTCACTTGGGTCCTCCAAGGTATTAGACACATGGGTTTAGGCCCCAACTGTAGTTGATCCCTTGTGTAATGAAGCTGCTACAAAAGCTATGTACGTGTAAGTGGATGGTAATTTGATGGATATTAGTTGTTGAGCTCGTTTGGAAAGCTCGAGCTTAACTCAGTTGTTGAGCTCTATTTTTAGTTTTTTTTTTATATAGAATTAATTTAAAAATGTTAAAATATATTAAAATATTGCTAATTTAAATTAATTTTTAAATAAATTCTAAGTTAATCGAGCCAGTTGTTGAGCTCGTTTGGAAAGCTCGAGCTTAACTCAGTTGTTGAGCTCTATTTTTAGTTTTTTTTTTATATAGAATTAATTTAAAAATGTTAAAATATATTAAAATATTGCTAATTTAAATTAATTTTTAAATAAATTCTATGTTAATCTAGCCACTCAATGAGCTTACGAGCCAAGACAAGCTGAACTAGAGCTCGATCTCATGGTTCGATAAGTTCGACTCTTGCGCTCGTTAACAAGTCGAATTCGAGCCGACTCGGCTCACTTACACTCCTAGCACAATATATACTTTAGAAATATGATTGTAATTTATCTTTTAAAATATGTTTGTATCGGTTGATATTAGTTGGGTATGGGTATCTTTGATTTTTGTTTTCTTTTTTGGTATGATTGTTTTATTTGTATTATTTTTATTTTCACTTAAAAAATATGTTTAAATGTGCATTCTTTTCCTTTTGTCTTAATATATATTTTGGAAACAAGTAAAAACACCTAATATATGGTGTTCTCAAAATTTCTGAAAACAATTGTTTCTTAGAAAATACTAAAATTACTAATATGTTTCCTAACATGAGTAGTTGCTTATTAAAACAAAATTAAGGAACAAAAACAATTGGAATCACACCCTTGATAATTTGTTTGAAAGGGTTTCAAGTTTCGTTCTCTGTACTGACAGTGTTATATGTGTGGTTGCTGTGTATTTTGAAATATGTTAATAATGGTTAGTATTTGTCAACTGATTTATAACTTATATCATGGTTTTAAATTTTAGATTTGCTTTTAGTCTTATCATAAAATTTTCACTTTTTATAGTTTCGTCAAGTTTGGGTGTTTAAATTCAAGTTTTTATAGTTTCATTAATTTTGTTATAAAATTTCACAAAAACTATATATTTAAGAGATGTAGGATTATCTAATCAGAAGTCGAGTTACAGCATATGAAATTCTGGATGATCTCAGTGATCAATTTTTTAAGATTATTCAAGCTATTTATTGAAGCTTCGTTCAAAGTATGAGTTCCAGGGTAATCTCCTGAGTTCGACCGAAACTTAACTGAAAATATTAAAGAATTCGGATCAATTTCAATTGAAAACGAATCAATCACAAAAGAGCATTTAATATTTGAGTTTTTCATTGTAGGTCTGATAAATTGCTAAATGTCATATGTTAATTTGTTTCTTAAGTATTTTTTTTACTTAAGTTTAATGAGCACATAAATTTCTCCAACTTAAGATCTGTGTTCCACTCCAAAACAAGCAATGCCAAGCAAATGGCTCATTGGACTTGGCACTTCTATTATAGTCAAACAAAGTTCAAGAGCATGTGATTCCCACGTGAACTGTACATGTTTGATAGCTCTTGGTATTTAATATTTTATAATATTGAAAATATTTCATTTGAGTTTGATATTGATGTGAAGGTTATGTGATGGAGGTATTATTGAAATGCGCATAAGATTGAAGAATTGTCGCGCATTGAAGGTGAAATAAGAGTTGAGTTCTTAATGCATTTATAGTGACAATTGTCCATTAATTCTAAATTTCTGGGTGGTTATCCAACTAGTAATACATCAGACTTAACTTAATCCTTTAGTACTTAACTCTCTTTGCAGACTTATTGACAACTAAACATATACCTTCAGTATTTTATTAAGGTCAAAGATTTTTTTTTCCATTCAATGACACTCTTTTGGGCGATCAAGTCATTAATAAGAGTACACATTTTAGATATCTTGGATATGTTGTTCAGATTGATGATGAAATAGATAGGAATATTATCAGTTGAATTCAAGTTTGATGGTTGAAGTGGAGGAATGCATTGGACTTGTTGTGTGATAGAAAAGTCCCTCTCAAACTTAAGGGAAAATTCTATAAGATGGTGGTGAGACCGGCAATGCTTTATGGTGCAGAATGTTGTTCATTAAAAGAGAAGCATAATACTAAGTTAAGTGTTGGAGAGATGAGGATGCTCAGGTGGATGAGTGGATTTACCCTTAGAGACAGGATACGAAATGAGTATATACGTGAAAAGGTTGAAGTAACTCCAGTGGAAGATAAGATTAGAGAGAGTCGTCTTAGATGGTTTGGTCGCATAAAATGACAGCCTTTCGATGACCCGATTAGGAAAGTAGAGGTATTATATTTGAGTTATATTAAGAAAGGTAGAGGTAAATCTAAAAAGACTTATTAGAATATATTAGAAATGATCTTTTTTTATTAGATTTAAACAAGAATTTGACTTTTAACAGGACACAATGGAGAAAAAGGATTCATGTAGCCAACCCCACATACTGGGACAAAGACTTGATGTTGTTGTTGTTGTATTCAATGACACCATAATTAATCCTCTTTCACTTTTGAGAAGTTGCATGCAGCATTATAAACTACATTAATTTGTTGCACTAATACCCAATTGGTAATACAAGTGTTGGTACTTTGGGGCTTATCAATTTGTATTGTTCTCTTTACAGTGGTTTGCGTACCGGTACCTGGTTTTCAAGCCTGATAGGTGCACCAACTTTCATTCTACAAATATTGCTGTGAAAGTCGATAGTATTTTAGTATAAAGTTAACAACATCTTTTGCTAATCCGATTTCAGGGAAGCTTTGATTGCAAAAGTCAAGAGCATCTATGGCGATGTTATTGGAAGCGGCTAAAGTTGATTTCAGGCTATGAAATCAACTTTTAAAAGTTTAGAGCCTGCTTAAAAGAGGTTTACTCTTCTTGTATTTGGTTAATGATCTGTTTTAAAAGTTGGAAATTTGTAACCATCGTATTCTTGCAGAAATGCATTTCTTCTGAGAGCATGAGCTTCTCATCTTCTTCGCTTTGCATCCATATTTCTATTTGCCAGATATTTTGTTGGTAAAATATTATGGAAATCATTGTTAGTATTGCGTTCGAACTTCACACATGCACGTGTGTGCAAACACACATATATATACAATACTATCCAAAGAGGAATAGCTTGGGGCAATGATTAAGGCTTCGATTGGGATGGCTTTCATACTGCTTCTTAAAACAGCTTTTCAGTATAAAAATTTTAATTTTTGAACTAGAAAGCTGTTTTAAGAAGCAATAAAAACACCGTCCCAAACGAAGCCTAAGACTTCATTTGAGACGGTTTTTTTACTGCTTCTTAAAGCAGCTTTTGAGTAATTTTTGTATCAAAAAATTATTTTAAGAAGTAATAAAAAAACTACCCTAAATGAAGCCTAAGAGATTTGTTGAAAAAAGAAAGTCAGAGAAAATGTTTGCCTTGTGTTGTTTTATCTATCACTAATGTCTGAAAAAAATACATTATAAATCAGAGTACCGTTTTCCTTGGCTAGAAATAAAAAATCTACCGGCTCAGTTTTTATACAATCGTGAGGAATTTTTATTGCGTCCTCCCACCTGACGTAGAGATACATCTTCCCAGAGCTAAAATCGCGCTAAAAAACTAGAAATACCGAGCAATACCAAACAATAACGAGAAATATCATCATGTGAAGACCAATACCGAGCTATACCGAGCAATACAAAAAATAACTAGTTTTTCCTAGAAAAAATTCGGTATTTTTTTGTATTGCTCGGTATAACTCGGTATTGGTCTTCACATGATGATGTTCCTCGTTATTATCAAATAATACGTAGCAATACCGAGCTAAAACCGAGTTTTTTGACGGTAAGAGGACGTATTGGGAGGACGAAATAAAAATTCAATCCTGAGGCGGGGCATCGCCTTTTATTTTTCATCACTGTCTCTGTATCTGGAAAAGATATTTTTTGATTTTTTTCTGAATAGACGTAAAGGAAAGAAAGACGATTCTCCAGTTTTCAGATGTGCTCGTCGTTGGAATGTCATTTTCGGCGCATATGGTTTGGTTTTGGTCATATCAATATTAAAAGCTTGTGCAGCTCAAGCTTTTTTTTATTATTTTTTAAAATAAATTTTTAGGTGAAAATTTTTATTAATAAAATATTTTTAAAAATAATAAAAAAATTGTTGCAAATATAGTCTTTGCTAATTGAAAGTTTTGATTATTAAATAGGAGATTTTTAATTTAAAATTTATATATATTACATATGTGTTAGTTTGCCTTTAATTGATTCAAATGTTAAATAAAAAAATGGTACTCATAGCATCGGGGATTGCACCATGCTGACAAGCTTGAAGTATAACGTACGAAACAATAATTCTAAACAACTCATCTTGGTCTGTTGGTTGGGAGCTTAGGTTACCAACTAAGAGATTCTGGGTTCGAATTTTGTGTATGGGATGCGTGTGTGAGTCTGCTTTAATCGGTCTAAATGTTCAAAAAAAAACAATTATACTTTCAAAGTTCAGTTCAGATTTGCATCGCCAAACTGCTATGATGTGACTTAGTCTTCGTTTGGGCGGCTTTTTTAATTTTTGAATTAGAAAGCTGCTTGAAGAAGCAGTAAAAAAACTGTTCCAAACGAAGTCTTAGACCTATGTAGGTTTTTTTTTTTTTTTCCTTACAATATTTTTTGCGCTAAAAAAAAGTTTAAAAAGTATGTTTTTTAATAAAGTGGTTTCTTTAAAAAAACACTAAAAAATAAATTTGAGGTGTTATTATTATTTTATTAACCTTTTCTCAACCTACTTTCAACTTCAGCCTTTGTTGTTTCTCTTGAAGAGAGTTCCATGTTTGCACATTTCCTGCTCCCTCGGTCTTGGCATCAGCATAGTTGTCTTCCTCTGCATCCTTGTAGTCAACAAATCAATAGCCAATAGGTGTCTAGCACTTTGACTTGTTGTTATCTTATAATCACTATCTTGTATTTTGATCAAGAGTTCTTGAACGAGCTTTAGGTGAGATCAGATTGCAGACCAATTGGTCAACAAAAGAAAAATTCCTCCCGATCTCGTCCGCGTTTTAATCCTCTAATATGCAAAAAAAAAAGCTTTAGTTGCTCTCGAGTTTGTGCCAATTAATTTTTATTGTCCCTTTTAACTATAAACTCAAGTGTAATAATTGTTGCTTAATTGTCTAAAAAAACATGAAGAGTAATAGTCTTTACAATGTGCTCTCTTGCCCTTACCGACTAAATATAGATTAGATCAAGTGATTTTATATCATATATGACCTCGTAAAAGTTCTCACTATTATTCAAGTCAATTATGACTCTTCGATTATCCATTACAACATCAAGCTCAACAAATTCTCCTTGGCCCTAATTTTTAGACCGAAGTATCTGATTTTGATCTCTCATGACTCAATATTGAAGTTATTACTTAAGTCTCTGTGATTTGTTTATCTTCTCTAGAAGCACATAAATGTGGTCGACATTGTTTCGTGTTTACCAAATATTGTGGGCTTTGATATAGACTCATAGGGCAAGGAGAGTCGCAAAGGATTGGACTAAACCATCGTGTAGGATGAAAATGATTATAAGACTTTATTCTCTAACTTAAAATTTAATGAAATATAGATTAGTTATACATACATTTGTCTTTTGAGCACTTTATAACGAATGCATCGTACTATCCATAATAATAAAAGAAGATTCACTCGAAATGTTTAAAAGATAAAAATATATGTAACTTTATTATATTAGATATTTCTCCCACTCAATATATGATATTGCATATATTTTATTTTATTATGAGCAATCAAGCTTCTCATGAGAGCAAACTCTCAGAGATCATTACATCTTGGATAAAGAGACTAAGAATACTCTCGATTAAGAGTATTTGTTTTTTTTCCTTTGAGTTTAGTACATAAGGATTTTCTAGTCATGCTTCCCTATTCCAATAAAATATAGACTCAATTGGCCACTCATCATACAAGAAGATGGTACAATAAAACATATAAAGATCATAACAAGGATATTAAATCATGTAGAGCAAGTATGCTTTGTACAACAGTTGAACATATAAAGGAATGTCATTGAGTTACATAGAAATATGAATCCTATGAGCTCCAGAGAATGAATCTTCTGGTGATGATAATTAGGATATGGTAAGAGCAATGCTAATCATAAATCTAAATTTAAAGAGACATTGAAATTACCAACAAAATATGGCTTATAACTTATCAAGCACAAACACTAAAAGGGGATTACAACTTAAGCCCTACAAATTGCTAAAGTAGACCATGATACATTCTTATAATCTTGCTGCAAATAGAAGCCTTATAAATGCACCTAATTACATAAAATCATAATAATTATTACGAATGCAAATACAAGATAGGGACATTGTTATATATTTTTAAGGTTTTATAATCTTACCACTGAAATAAAGGTAACCTAACTATGAATGGACATGCCTTGCGTTTGTAAGTTTATATTTAATTATATAGTTCTAAGTGTAATAGCTCAAACTCTTAATTATTGAGATATTATTCACTTTGGCCTAAGGGCCTCACAATTTTGTCTCGTTGGTGTAACTTCTCAGGAGGTCACCCATCCCAAGATTTCTATAAGATGAGTATGCTTAACTATAAAATTTCTTAATAAAATTCTAATCATTACACTAAAAGGCATGTTGATGTTTAAGAGTTTAGCTTATTTTTTACTTAAGAAGTTTCACAATCTCCTCCATTTAAGTAACTGATGTCCTCGTCAATATCTTTATCATAAAATCATCCACTAGATAGATAGGATTCTAGAGGTGGTCCCTACAAGTTCAAGTGGTGACTCCTGCCACATAACACTTTGTCCCATATATGGTTCAAGTGGCCGCTCCCATTGTATAGCACTTTATTGTGTACAACATATAATTCCCATTTTCTAGGTAGTGTATTTGTCTGATACTATTTGTAACATCTAAAATTCTTAACCATCAATATATTGTCTACTTTGGCCTAAGGGCCTCACAATTGTGTCCCATTGATGTAACATACCAGGAGGTCACCTATTTTAGAATTTTTTAAGGAGGAGCACATTTAACTATGGAGTTTCTTATAAAAATTTCAACAATTACACCAAAAGGTGCCTCAAAGTTTAAGAGTTTAGCTTCTTTTCACTTAACGAAATTCACATTAAATATGATATAAAATAAATTTAATATATTGATTCACTATATTATGAATATATATATGTCAGCTTGAAGTTTTCAGAGACTTTAAAGAACTTACCTGTGACACCTTCACATTCAGCATGTAGTTCTACCTATTCTCACTCAAATCTAATAAGCCTAGAGAAGAGAGAAGGAGAAGGATTTGGAGAGGAAGAAAAAGAATTTTGGGCCACTTTGGGTCAATTTTAGCAGCCAGCCCAGCTCAAAAGTTGTCCAAATCGAGATAGATCATATTATACATATCTCAATTTTTAAAAATACAAAGTTTTTACAAATTTTTTTGATTAAATTTCTATTTCCATTTGTTTGATAGAAAGAGTGTTAGAGTTTTGAAAAGGCTTAATTATCTTTAGTAAAAGTTTAAAATTGATGTTTAAATTTTAATTTTGAAATCGAATATCCATTGGAAATAATATACCACCTCGAGAGGTAAAAATAAGACCTCATGATGGGTTCAGATTTAGAATTACAAATTATATCATAAATAGTGTAGCCAAAATTAGGAAAGAACTACATATGACTCATAAGGGTCAAAATAATGTTCGATCAAATATTTAGCTATGTTGATTTCGATATGATTAATTTCATATTCTAAGTCATGTAAACGAATAATATATCTCTCAAGAGGAATAAAATATCATTCATTATCGATTTCTTGAATATGACGATAATAATTGTCACTAATTTTGATTTCTCAAAGAGAATTAATTGAATTTTTGAAAAACTTTATTTTTGAAATTTTGATTTGAGTTTCTAAATCTCCTACAAGTGCAAGCCCTCGTAGTTAATTACATCATAGGAAATCAAAGTTTCCTACAAATATTCTCGATTAAAATAATAGTAGAAATTTCTTTTTGAATTTTA